GGGGAGGGAAAAACAGGGGAACTAGCACAGAGCCTCCACGGGGGCCACGCACCCGGGGGGCAGCTCTGGGGGAAGCTGGGGTGAAGCTGGGGAGGAGGATAAGGAGGAAGAGGCACAGGGGCGGGGACGCTGGTGGGAGAGGCACATGCATATTTGGCTGCCACTGGCAGAGCGAGAGCATAGTCGGGGTGCAGACTGGAGGGGAGCAGATAGGGTGGGGGCGGCAGGGGGTGTCGCTGCGGGGTACTTGCCCCCCCTTCACTTCCCCTCAAGGGAAGCCACTGGGAAGCAAGGCAAAGACCTGCCAAGAACAGCCGGTGGGGAGGGGAGGTCAGGGCAGAGACACTGGGGCAAGAGGACAGGGCCAATGAGAGATGATCAAGCCACGTGCAAATCGCTAAGAACTCACAAATAAGGGGAGGCGTCACCGACAGCGTACGAGAAACGCAAGAGGTCTTTGTTCCCCCCCTGCGATTAGTTTTGGTTTTTTCGTTTAGAAAAAAAGTACAGAAAAAAAGAAGCGCTTGTTACGGGTTTCAGGCTAAACCAGGCCCCCACAAGCGTACAGTGTCAGAGCCACTTTTAGTCGTTTTAGCAATTTTTTTCGATTAGCTTTTCGGCAAAGACGAGCCGAATGTTCATTTCTGTTGCAGGAGAAGAAGGCCTTGGCTTGGTGTGGGGCTCTCTGGCTCCCTCTGGTGGAGGAGGACTGCGTGCATGCCATTCCTCCGGAGGCCTCTAGTAGTGTGAGTGGGTGCTGCCCTGCATCAGCTGGCGCATACTTACTGTGAAGATGTTGGAGCGGCGTTTGGACTGCTTGCGGATGGGCGTGGGCGTGTTGGATGCGGCCACTGTCTCGATGCGTTGGCTGATGCTAGGGGTGGAGGGGACGGAGGAGGAGTAGTCGTTGAATGCACCCCCGCCATTTGCTGCCTGTGAGGGGGGGGGGGGTTGGTTGGTGTTGAATGAGACAGAGAGAAAGAGAGCAGGCAAACATAACAGTCAGATGAAAGGAGGGATAAGCACACAGGCCTGTGCCCCACCCCAGCACCAACACCTCCCCCCACCCACTGTACTTCAAAACGTCCAGATCAGTTGGCAGGAAATGGCAGCCATTTCTCATTCGTGTGCCAGCACCCTCTAGTGGAAGCCTGCGGTTATGACGCCATTAATTGACAGCGAGTGATCTTAAGCTCACCATATGGGCCGCAATCTGCCCGCATACATTATTGCTGAATAAAGAGCTCTACATACAAGAGAACCAGAATGAGGGGCTTAGCCTCACTCACAGCCAAAATTGGAAGTTAACTATGTAATTTGAATTCCCCGCACAAGTCATCAATTAATTGACATCTACATTCTCAGGAAAAATGCATTGTAATGTACAGCTCACACTGACTACAAGATACTTTTTTAAAGGGTTTGAATTATATGATTGGCTGGATTGGTTCCAGGCTAACGAATGCACGCACACACATCACATCTATGTTCTATATCTATGAACGCATTATTGAACATCTTATTATTGATTTTAACAGCGACTAATTTAGCTGTAATAAGAGCATTGGTGTTTTTTATGCTAAACTTAAAAATCAATTATACAGATTATTTAGTATCAGCAAAGATCTGGGCAGCACAGTCAACAGTGAGCATGCAGTATGCATTTTAATGGTAAGCTGATTATAAGCAAAGACATGCAGCTGTGTTGAAGCACCTGAACCAGAAAACATGAGCAAGAAAAATCTACCACTTCTGGAAACAAAACACAGCTGGTAGCAGGGTAACAAATGAAGATGTAGCAAAATATTTTGTAGAGTTTCATACGAAATATTTCTACACGCAATAATGACAACATACTGACAATGCTAGCTATTCATGGGGGGGGGCGGTATGTGGTAGTGATGGCAAATAAAACTCCATGAACCATTTGCTGTATTTTCAGACACCACTAGATGGTGCTCTCTATTCAAAAAAAGGGCTCAGTGCATAAGCAATTTGCAAAGCAAACCAAGAGCATCATATAGTGGGGTCAGAAAATGGTTCTTGAAGCTTTATTTGACCATAACTAGCATGTGGCTCTGTGACCTCTTAGTGGTTCCGTATATTCCACCTATGTCTTTATTATTATTGATTTCTACCCAAAAATCATATTTTATCACAAGAACCGAATAGTTCTTTAATAAGATATGTGACCGGGCAGAGGTAAATATTAAACATATTTAGTGTTTAAATTGTGAGACAAAGCAGACAAGTAGTTTTCCAAAAGAAGGTCACGTTTTTATTGTTTTAAAAACCCGAGAAGACTTAAAACTTGCAGTTATAAACCGTATCCCATCCTGCTTTTGCGTAAGCTTTCTTCAGACCTATAAGATGACATCTGCCCTCTGCTGGCCTGGAGGAATATCACTGCAGTACGCATGCGCCGACCGCAACCGTCGGCAACTGTCCGCATCCACAATATAAACACTAGGTGCCACGTGGAGGACCGTATCCAGACCGGAAGTTCATGAAAGGGCACATGGAAAGCATGAAGCATGAACTAGGCTTAAGGCAGTCAAAAGAATATGATGTTTACATTGACTTTTTGTCTGCTGAAGTGTGTAAGCGTAGCCGTTTCAAAACCTCTCCTAAAGTCACCCCAGTATTTGCAGCCACCATCCAATACAATCCAATAATATTTTGTGACTCGACCACTAACACACCTCACATGGCTTATCAATACCTCACTGAGTTATTTAACCAGTTCATTTGATAATTGAGCTGGTGCTGAAATTTCACAAACAGAATGACTGAGGTGCCCCTGAGGAGAGGTTCTGTGAACCAAATCTTTAAGCTTCTAGCCGTCCAACAAGATATCAGAAACGTTTTGGAAAACACAAGAAATTCTAATACTTAATTCCAAGGTTAAAATGTGCTTTTTTACTGAACAAACATAAACTTACTACCCAGATAAACAGCTTTAAATAATATTTAAAGGGCCCTCACCTGATTAATGTGCACAGCTGGGATGGAGGCCGCAGGGACGGACGAATGACTTGGGGAGTTGGGCAGCGACTTGCAGGGTCCGATCGATAGCTGCTGTTTTTTCCTCAGGGCCACAACCTTCTGGGCCACTGGAGACGGGGGGGAGGACAGAGAGAGGCGCCCGCAGGCGTTTACGCCACGGGGATCGACGCCGGGATGCACCAAAGCATCACGTGATAAACGTGCCGCCCAGCATTTAGACCGTCAGCTGACCGTGATTTCGCCATTACATAATACATGTGTGGGTATTTTATTATTTTTTTTTAATATACTGCCTTATAAAATTATAAAATTTTCTGGGAGTCAGAAATGCAAAAGAGATTTGATCTGAATGTTAATATTAGTGGCTGGAAGATAAGGCTTCAAAGCACAAGATTTGGGAAAGTCTGGACCAATAGGAGTCAGGTTTTAATCCCTGAGGTTGGGATCGCTTATTCTGGAGGTGCAACGCAAATCTCCCTCCAGCAGCTAAGGTCCGAGTAACACAGCGGGCAGTGCATCACCGTGCCACCCGTGTCTGTAGATGGGGGAACGCAGGTGACGTTAATTTAATCAGCAGAGGAGGCCTCCATGTCCCCCATATCATTTTGTATGCAGACAGGGGCAGGAGCTCAGGCTCTCCGGTTGACGTGGAGACAATCTCCATGACAGCAGCAGCTGTTTAAGATTCTACTCCCTCCTCCTGTCCGTCCAATCAAACACGTTTGAACGCCTTCATTATTTCTAGCAGGGTTTCAGAAGGCAATTAAAAAGGAGGGGAGGAAATGCACAGGCATGGATCTTGATAGTAAATGAGTCGGTATAATGAAGACAATGTGATCTTAACTCAAGCAAGCAGAAAAAGGTACCTTTACGTTTTTTTTTTTTTTTATTTAATAAAAACTGGCAATGCAGTGTTTAAAGAATCCTGGGCACCAGCAGCGCCTGGAGATTACAAATCTCAATCACTGATATCAATCAAGGGAAAAGCAGTGACTGCGATGTTTCACTGAGGCAGGAAAAGGGCACCATGGAAGCAGGTCCGAGACCTGGGTGACCGAGCCAGTAGGGGGCGCCCTCACCGTCCTGAAAGACTCTTTCCACATTGAGGCCGTAGGTCGAGCAGGTCTCGTAATACGTGGAGCGCTTCAGGTCGTTGGAGAGCTTCCGGGCCCGCGAGTCATCAATGACCCTGGGGTTTGTAGCGCTGATGGCATCTTGAGGGAGGGGTCGAAGAGCACATGACATGGTTAGTTCAGACTAGTCCCAGCTGCGGTCATTCAGAAGTGATTTGAATTCAAATAATAATAAAAAAAATGTAAAATACATCTCGACTCCAAATTCTGTCTCAATGCAAAGAACATTAATGCAATGCAAAGAGCACTAGGTTAGCACAGAACGGGGTACTGAATTTCTGCAAGCCACAATTCCCATCAGAGATGGAGTTCTCTGGACAGCCCCCCCGGTCAATTCTGCCAACTCGGGGGGGGGGGGGCTGGGGGTTTATTATGCGATCTGTATTAGTCTGGCAACTACCTGCCATAGGCATTACATGCAAAATTCAGGAGATGAGCTCATTCTGTTGGATCAGGCTGAGAGCTTGATTGGATTTTTAATTATTTAAAAAAAAAAAAAAACAGCAATTAAAGAGGGGGTACTGTGGAATTTTTGGGTGTGGGGGGGCGTGATCTCTCACCTTGTGTGCCCACCAGGACCATAGGCACGTCAGCTGTGTTCCTGTAGCTGGACAGCCGCAGGAAGTAGTTGTAAACCGTCTGAAAGCTGATCTCATCCTCCAGGCTGAAGACGAAGACCACAGCGTCCACCCAGGCTGCAAACTGATGGAAAAAGAGGGATGTGGCAAAGTTACTGTCAGGAGGAAAGGAATCCGACAATAACAGAAATCATTCACCTTACGTGGATGAAACCTGCGCGCAAAAAACTGGCTGCATGTGATTATACACAGCATTCCTTACCTCGGAAGTCGGAAATGGGAGCTGGGAAAGATGTCACACCCAAATTAACTGCATTTTATTTTTTTCATTAAGCAGGTTAGCTACTAGCAATAACAGATCTGTCCAGGTTCATCGTTAGCCATTATAACAGTATTAGTTGATGACAACGTATTATGGGGTATTTTGCACATACAAACACCATAGCAACATGTCCACAAATTCAAATTGGACAGTACTGTGTGTACGACCGATTTAATGAGAGACAAAATAGACATAAGTATGTAAATTAAAATTGCTGCATATTTTTACTGTTGATGCATGGAGCGGCCATATTGAATTCTCAGGTCAGGGTTGTGTAGATTCCTCTGACTTGCAACTAGAAAATTCCAGCTTCCCAGTTCAAATGGACCAGACAAAGGTTCTGGTAATGGAATTTGCTCAATTTCCTTAAAGAAACTGTTGCTGTATTTTTAAGGGCAAATCATATCTGGGAGGCATTTCAAAAAGCAGACAGCAGATGGCAGCAGAACAACTACAAAAGGGCCTGTTGGAATCTTTTATGTAAAAAAAAAAAAAAATACTGTCATCCATCTCTAGCTACATTGTAAAGTAAGCCAGTCAAGAATGATGAATGGTACGAACAGAAGTCTGTAATCCTATCGGAGGGATTTGTTACATAAATGGTTTTAACAGATCAAGCGACACTTGTAGAACAGACTGGAACGACGAACTTGGTATTGGGGGGGGGGGGGAAACCTACACCAGACATTTTCAAACACTGCAACACAAACAACACCTCCCCCTCACACAGTCACCTGCCCGCCCTTTGCATGCTCAACACCAACTGCCCCACCCCACCCCATCCCACCAGCCAGTGCAATAACAACAGGGTCCTATCTGACAGTGTCAAGAGGCTAAGGGAAATTAAAAGCAATGCCTTGTCGACCTGCCACCATGTCGCTCCGCCCCCCCCTGAAATGCACAGCATAACGAAGGGTTTTAATTATTCCTAGCAAATTGCTCTCTGCTGTGACTTCGGCCTGTAGCCAGCGATTCAGAAGGGCAGCGATTCGAAAGGTCAGTCTGGCCACCCACAAAGCTGCTCCACGCCCTCCCTGTTACGGTTGAGCGGTCTCTCCTCTGTATCCAGAATGCCCAGAGGGACGCACCCCGCGAAAGTGACCCCCTAACCACCAGACCGACATCCTGACACCATACAGGTAAACAAACAGCAAAGGAAAACTCCAGGGAGACTGGAGATCCTGACATCAAAATGTAATAAGCTTTTGGGAGGCAATCTGACGCCGGCAGAACAATAAGGTACCTGATCAAACTGGACCATGAGGTGACACCTTGGATAACTAGGCTGTTTTACAGAAAGATAAAGGTCTGGTAGATCAGGTTATGTTCTACTAGCACTGTAGGCTAAAATGAATCGTCCTACAAACACTACAGACCTTTCAAGGTTATAAAAGGAGGGAGGGATATCGATACTGGCCACGGGCACCACAAAAACACCAAACGACACTGTGAGACACATACCTGTAGCTCAGGAGGTCCACCTTCATCTCTTATGAGGAGCAGGTAGCTCTGTCCATCCACGACAATCTCCTTCTTGAACCGTCCTCCTGGCGGGTCGGAGGGGCAGATGAAAAAGATGATTAGAGGGGCATTTTGGAATCCTACACAGCTGCTGATGAGTTCTGTAGCTCTCGTACTCAATAACTCTAGGATTCTATACGTATCTGAACTATTGGCCCAAATTCATTGAACACTGCATTATTCAACCCACAGAACCAACAGAAGTACCAGAGGTGAGGTTGCGTTAGATGAATCAGTGCCCCCCCTGTGGGTAAGCAGAAGCGGCAGCACGTTGAACTAAAGCCTAGGCCAGTGTTTCCCAACCCAGTCCCCGGGGAACCCTGGACAGTACGTGTTTTTGCTCCCTCCCAGCTCCCAGCCAATCAGGAACACCGAAACCCTGGTACAGGTGCGCTGGGAGCTGAGAGGAAGCAAAAACCTGGACTGGCCGGGGTTTCCTGAGGACTGGATTGGGAAACACTGGCCTAGGTCAGGGATCTCAAACTCCAGTACTGAAGGGCCGGAGCCCTGTGTAGCTTAGTTCTTTCCTCCTTCCACCACAAATGATTCAGATCAAGAGCTGTGTGGTAATTAGCAAAAGGAGTTGAATCAGGTGTGTTAAATGAGGGCAAACCAAAAACTGTGTAGGGCTCTGGCCCCCCAGGACTGGAGTTTGAGACCCCTGGCTTAGGCACTCAAACTGACTTTGACAGAAACGACTACAGATGTGGAAAATTCTGGTCCAGAAAGTAAAAATCCAGCCCATGATTTTGTTTTAACCAACCATTTGAGTACTCTGTGATTGTGACTCATTGTACTCAACCAGTTGGTTGAAACTAAATCATGGTTTAGATATTTACTTCCTGGACCTGAAATTTCCACTTCTGGTACGGACCAGAATGAAACGGCTGAAGAGTCACAGTAACTGGAGGCCTGCATTCCCAGGGGGCCTGCCTCCAGAGTAGGCCCAGCAGGCGAAAGGGAACATGGAGAGGAGCTTCCAAAGCGGAACGCTACATAACCTGTACTCCGTAACGGAACGATAAGCATCACAGCACTGTGACAGCAGGGGGGAGGGAGAGAGAGGAGCTCCGCCGTCCAGAGGCATCACGCTCACGCCAACCGCGGTCCTACAGAAATCCCCGGGCTGCCCACTGCAAATGCACGTACCGACAAGCCTGTACTGAATTGATTTTTTCTTCTGCTCCTTTTTGATAGTGAAAGTGCCGAAAGATACTGCAGATTGAATTATCGAAGGTGCTGGAACTGTATGGAAAACCGAAACGGTTACAAAAAATAAATAAATAAAAAATGTTTATCGTTTTGAAAAACACAGAAACCTTTTTGGACTGCAAAAAAATGTATCTAATTTCTGATCTTCACAGCACGGTCACATCCCGATTAAACCATCGTGGGGCGGGGCGGGGCTGACGAAACCAGACAGGCGGGAGGGCAGACTGGTTGTGCGCTTCCAGGAACGTGGCTACTGTACATACCATGAGTTTGGTGTTATGGGGGATCGAGCATGTGACTGTCACTTTCCACCCCCCCCCCCACCTAGTCAGCCGTCGAAACACAAACGGCCCAATTCCAAGCTCACAACCGTGGCCGGGCAGCTTGTGTTGGTGCTTCTGAACACCAACTACTGAACACCAACTGCTGAACACCAACGCTTTCCAAAAATGTGCCTGGGATAAGGATGGGGCTCACGGCCAAACATCCTCAGTCTACTCCCACCTGCTAAAGGACGGACGTCCTTCCGTTCTGTACTCAGGCCTAATCCGAACTCCCCAACTCAGCCCCCAGCTGCGGATCGACACCCCCCCCGACCTGAAAACTCACGCTGGCATGCAGGCTGAATGCGGGCAAAGAACCGTGGGAGAGCAAACTCGTGGATGGCATGGAACAAATCGGTAAGACGGGGAATTAAAGAGGAGAGAGAGGAGCAGCGGAAGTGGTTGCGTGTTTGTGTGTGTGTGGGGGGGGGATGGGGAGTATTCTTTATGCAGTAAAGGGGCCTTTCCTTGTAAATAAGCCTCACCTTCATCGTGTCGCTATAGAAACATGAAAAGGCTCTCCGCATTGGACTCTGGGCAACAACACCCCCCCCCCAAAATGAGGAGCATGCCGGTTTAGCTTTCTAGCATTCTGTCATCCATTTTGCAGAGCACTAATTAAGCTTGTAGGTCTGTCTCCCTTCTTTTTCAGGAGGGAAAAAAAATGCCAGTAACTAATTATGTGTTTCATGTTGCGATGGGCTATAATTAGGCAAAAGGAGAGGAGAGAACGCCACGGCGACGAGGATTGCCGTTTAACCCCTTGCATGCCACTGGCCCTGAGTGAGGCATGCAGATCCACACTACAGCAGACCAAAGAAAGGCTACACGGCCAAAGCAAAACTTAACTTCCAAAAAATATTTAGAAATTTGACTAAAAGGGTAATTACGATCATTTGCAGAACACATCGACCCATTATACAGTCAATGAGGTTGCACACTTGCACTTTCATGCTTGATATTATGATATAGTCCTCCTGGCGGGTATAGTTGTTATTTTACCACTGTGCTATTCTATGCTCTTATTCTATTTAGTTGCCCCAGCTGTAGGATTCACAAGACACTGCGTGTATATTATGATGACAATAAGGTTGAACTGAAGAATGAATGATTGACTGGAAATACGAGAAAAACAGAACAGGTTAGATACCCTGAAATCTTCCCAGTCATTGGATCTTATCTCAAACGTCTAAGTCCTTTCATTATTGTCTATTTAAAAAAAAAAGTCTCTGTACAGGACTTCACTTGAAAGCTCTGATAATTAATCAAAATTACGACTTAGTTGGGTATGAACCCATTGAGACGATTTCTTAAAATACTGACATATGAGACTTTTCACAGAATGCGACAGTAAAACGAGACCTTGAACTCGCTCATTTATGTGAATTTCTGTTTCCTTCCCTGGGTGTCTCAATTGATAGTTAAAAAACGACACCTTCTTTCTTTTCAGACATGTATTTAGTTACTAAAAAGAAAAAAACAAAACAAAACAAAACGTCTCATCGCAAATTGGCACTGATTCAGTAGCAGGTGAAAAGAGCTTCTGGTTCTCTAATAAAGCTCTCTGTGTCCCCCTTTGCAGGGAATCTGACACAGCAACACGAACTCTCAAGGTCATAAAGCCAGAGGGGAGGGGGTTCATATGGAAATACTGATTTATTCAAAGAACCCAGTTAGGTCCAGAGATATTAAAAATCATAATGCAAAATGAAAATACCTCAATAATCCCTTTCACTTAAATGTTACAATGTATCATACCAAAATAGAAAAGTAATCCTTTTAAATGGGCATAATAGTTTCATGATTTGTTGATTGAAATAGAATTTAAATCAATTTTGTATTCCATTAGGTTCAAATTGGTGAAAGCTAATCAAGAACGCACCCTGCAGTGGTTTGCCAAAGCCGATTGGACGGTCTTGTCTGTTGGTCAAGACCTCCCAGGAGGACCCCCTCCAAAGAAAAATATCTGCAGAACTTACCTTCTGGGGACTCCTCCTGGACATAGGTGCCTGTCAGGTACCGGTGCACCAAGGCCGACTTCCCACTGGAGAGGTTACCCACAATGCCCTGTCCAAGGACACAGAGATTAGCACTGCGCCCAGTACCAATGTTGGCTCTCCAGTGACTTACACTTAACTATTTGACCAAACCATCAACCAACCAAACAGATTCAAGGTAAAAACAAATTTAAGTGGAAACATCCCCATTTCCATCATGCCACCCAGAATACAGTGAAAAATGTTGCAGTTTCCCAAACAAATGCACTCTATGTGGTTGATATATTTTTATACAGAAATGCCTGAACCACTACTATTTCTGAACCAGCAGCAGCTCTGACACTGGATCCTGCACCATTTCCATACAGACACACAAACCTGATATGGGGTTTTTTTTTTGGGAAGCAAAAAAGGGCAAATCGGTAACTAATGGTATCCCAGCAGATTCAACACCTCCGTCCACTAACAGTGCCCAGACGAAGCTAAATATTAATGTCACGCTGAATTTTTTTTCTTCATATTTATTTTGTAGAGAAACATTGGCTGATAATTGATTGGGGGGGGGGCTTTCATTTCAGCGGCCAATCAGCAGCTGTCTGAGCTCAGGACTCCTTGTTTGTTTTAGCACTGTATTACAGTGCTAAAACACCAAGCCCATCTCATATTCTCCTCTACATGTTCCTTCTTGTAGTGCCTTCCACCATAGGGGTGGGGGTATCTAAGGCTCTCCATCACTGGGGAGAGAAGAGTAGAGGTATGAGCCCCCCCACGTGACACCCCCTTAAGGCGTCCTCCTGTTGAGTTTTTGCAGGGCACGCACTTTCGGGATTTATGCCGCGTCGGGTCGGGACACAGGCTAACGAAGTGATTTATTTGCGCTCGCTCACGAAAGGCCCGCCACGCATCTGTCGGCAAAGAAATCCAATTCTGGGGGAGAACACAGAATTGCTAACGACGGCGGTGTGGCTCCAGGCCTCTGGCGCGTCTCACTGAGGCGTGCGACACGGCGTCAACATCCACGTGCAATGAATAATCACGTAAACAGCTGGAAGCAGGTAACGAGACACAAACAAAGCAAGTTTATAAATAAAATATGTGCTGATCTAAATATCAGGTTACGAGCTCCAGTCTAGGGTCGGAGCCCGACAGAAAGGAATGGGAAAGGGTTAGGGGAGGACGAGACGAACAGGGAATGGAAATAGGGAAGACAAGAAACAAACAGGCCTTTTTTTGTAATTTTTTTTGTAAATCAAGCATTTCACTAATGACCAAATTTACAGGGTGAAAACAGCTAAAAGCTTTCTGCCATGGCGTAAAGGCCAACTACTATAAAAAACGGAAAAATTATGAAGAATTAATTCATTTCTTATTAATTCATTAACTGAGGAGCTTATTTAAGTCATTCAGCTAGATCAATTTAAGCTAGCTAACGACATGACAAGATGGCTCCACCAGGGGGCGCACATTAACGGCACAACAGAAGCTGTGGCTCAGGGGAGGGATGTGACCGTGCATTTATGTCACTTCTGGCCATTAGTGGGCGGGCTGATCTTTGCAACAGAGCAGCTCGAAAGCTTAAAGACTCGGCCCGGAGTCGAAAAACCGCCGTCCGGCTTGACGTTCGCCAAGTCCGGACACGAGGGCATGCCTCAGACGGGGCAAGGGCCCGCGTTTCTTCACTGCGATGCCTGGGGGGAGGGGTGGGCAGGTGTCTGGCGCCCCACGCAGGTGGGAGGCGGAGTTACGGCAGAACGTCTGTGGCAGGCAGGAAGCCGAAGAACAAAGATGAGCAGAAGCTCCTAATTAAGCGGATTACAGCGGGGAAACATGGTGTTTAGGTGCCACCGTAATACCCAGCAGCTTTAGGAAGGTGAAGGCAATTATACTTGCATTGCACTGTAGGTAAACAGCAGAGGGAAGGTGTGTTAAATAACCCATGCTTACACTGTGAGGCAGTGTAAACAGTAACCATGGAGGGCAGAGAATCCACGTATTTCCTGGATTCTATGAAGGTAAACTCCTTTCTGAAGTTAAAAGTGCCTTTGAGCCATTAAGGGCTTTTGAACTATAATTTCACCAACTTTACCTATTAATTAGCCTCCAACCACAAATCCTGGTTCATTATTCTCATATTTGGTAATGGAGCTAGAAGGTGGTCTGAGGGAAGGTGGTAAAGTACCCTTCTGAGCAGCCATACATTGTTCCCATTGTTACCAGCAGGGCGGCGCTGTAGTTCCCTGTGACCGGGCTTATATTTATGGTTCAGACGTGCAAGCCGAGTCTCTAGGAGTCTCTAGGTTCACAGCTGGGGCCCCTTGAGGCCATCAAGGGCACACACATGTATTACCCGGATTATGTGGAGATTTACCTAGACAGTCACCGTGGCGACGCCTCTGAGGCTCGGCTGTCTGGAGTGCAGGTTCTTTATATGGTCCCACCCCCTAAAATGGCTGTTTGCTACCATCTATTTTGTGCCTGCCAGCATCACCGTTGCAGAAGAGACACGAGTGACTGACTGCAGGGTCGTAATGACTTCACAGCCACAAGCCATAAACAGCCAAAATATACAAATCCATACTTATACAGGCATCGACAGTTAATCAAATCCTAGGACACAATCCTGTTTTTTTTTTAAACTCCACAACATTCATAATTCCCCCTTTTAACAGCTCAGATCAAATAAACCAGCATAATATTATAATATTAATTCCCATAATACCCTGGAGGACAGAAATGTGTTCCAGACGACGCGTAACCAAGAGTCTGGAAACTGGGATTTTATTTGATTTTTACCTGTTAACATGCATGTAAACAGACAGATCAGTGCTGCCCCCTCTGGCATGGGAGGGTCCTGCACCCTGTGACTAACTGCTCTGAGACCTGCTGGCTTGGGGGGTGATGATGATGAAAAGATAATATACCTGAAACAGTAGGGAGCCAAAGTCTAATTATGGCTGATCCAAAAATCGGCAGGCTCCTCTGACCATGTGCTTTATTTTTGGCTCCTCCAGAATTCCACCCGCTGTTAAGCGACGTGGATCATTTCCAGGTCCCCGTCACCGGCCCGGCCCCAAACTGTCACTCATGGTCAGGGGCCCCACTGCATCGCCATGCCAACGTGTCTAATTACAGTCACCTGCTTCCTGCCAAGGAATAACCTAGCCAATTTGTGCCGGCGATGGAAAAGTGAATGAAAATACACTCTCAGGCCGTAAAATCACCTTTCGATGGACCGCGTTGCCGGTCGGCGTGCCAAGTGCGACTTTTTCAATATTAAACTGCCCAAAGGAAGCTCGCATAAATTAATGAAAATCGTTAATGAAATAAGCTCACGCATAACAGACTTACCACTTTGAGTTCTGGCACCGATCGACTCAGCGTCCACTCCTGGCTGTTGACGAAGGAGTCTGGAAAAAGAACGAGGGACAATCACTATGCGGGCTTATTAAATCGTAGGAAAGGGCAAGACCAGGCCCCAAGCGCACTGCCGGGGGTTACAGCACACACATTTAGGAGCAGTAACACAGGTGTACAGGCAGCATTACTATATTATGATCTTTATTACAGTAGTGATTGATCTAACCTGCCTCAAAACCACACTCCACAGATGCACGGAGTGACACATTTACACCACAATAATATGCCACGTCACCGTGGGAACGTGCGCGCGGTGGGGGGGGGGGCGGTTTAGACCAATGAGCCGTGGACATCAAACACATACGGCGCATGACCACAGATAACCCAACAACCTTCATGAGGTGACTGGATAAGGGGTCCGATCAGGCCTTGGACACAAGGGCATGAAGATTCTCCTGTCTAATACCCTGGGTAGATGTAGGTAAGTTACACCATATTGGTGGATCACTGGGAACTGTGGGGGAGGGATGACTAGGCTCTACTAGCCTCTACATGAGAAGAAGTCCAGCAGCACCCTAAGTTTAGCTGTAATTGACACCAAAGACATAAACCATGTTGTTCACCGAAGACTTTAAGACCTGGGGGCCTCGAGGGCCCGAGCGTCCCCGAGCTGTCGTGTTCCATTAGAGTGTGAGGAACTATGAGCAGATCCCGCAAACACAAGCTTTCCGCCTAATGACGGCCGTCCGCCGAGATTCTATCTGAAGCCAAATAACAAAAAAAACAGGTTAAAACAGCCTCTGATGGCCGGAGTGTCAGCAGAGGCCGGGAGAATGCAAGCACCGATTTTAACGGAGGATTTTGGCAGGAGGGCTGCAAACAAAACCATGCCTCAATTATGGCGACTGCAGGCAATATACTCTATAAGCTTCAGGAACGTGTTCTTGCTACGTAAACACACCCGAAACTGTAATATAAACTGCCACTCGCATGCCAAACACAAGGTTAATTGCACTCCTACAGCAAAGAACGGATGCTGAACTTGTTAGGCATTTCGACAAGTGACCAGAAAAGGCTTACACAGCCCAAAACGACAAGAGAAAAGATGAAGAACACAGAAGTCATGTGAGGGTGCTTTTTTTTAAGCTCACCACCCATCGGCCTCCGAATCCTACCATTCGCTGCCTCTAGCGTTCTCTCTCACAGAGCGGAAATAGCTGCGAGGACATTTTTAACCAGTTCCCATCATGATATTTTGACACGCCGCCGGCACCTCCGGTGGCGTGTTGAAATTACAGCCACCTCTGGTGAACGAAATTTGCTCGGGTCTCCAGCTATAACAGTTACCACCCATGGAGAGCCTCCATTTGCGGGTATGAAGCCAAGCGTGGAGGCACGTTGAGAGCGGGGCCCATTCCTCACGCCACAGGGCCATCTACATGCTGAGATACGGGACACCCCCCCCCCACGACTGCTCTTTTGTTTTGGGGTCTAAAAGCCACATACCTAATGGAAGCTCTTCCTCTCCCCCCCCCCCCATCTCCAATTTGCTTTGAGGAAAAGGAGGCATTGTTGGGGAAATGCCGTCACCCCAACCACAACTTTTCTGCAGGCCACAGCGGGTAGCGTAATGTGACCCACACCCCCCGTCCTGTCCCATATATGCCTAATGGCTTCCGTTCATCTACCTTGCAGGTCCGGGCTTTCAAACTTCAACACGTCGGTCTTTGTCACAACACATACCGCAAAGACAGACCATCAGACAGGGACACCATTGCCGGTCAACATGAGTTTAAGCTCTTCAGGGTCATTAGCGCCAATAAGTCTAAATAATGGCGCCATCGCAATGGAGCATGGGTAATGTGTACGTTAAACCTCACAAATGCCTCCCGTCTCCCGCTTCCCTGGGATCTTCCCCCCCCATACCAGTACAACCTGCTTATCAGATCTCCTGACATGTTGGAACACGAACAGAACCACCCGGGGATTAGAGACGCAGGTTCACGCCGAACGTCCGGACGGCTAACACGTCAACGTGTCCGTGGCCCCGCTAGCAGCCGAGCGCCATTTTGCGCAATATCGGACAACGATGCATTCTGGCGAAAGGCAAGACGTCACTCTTCCATGGATGAGCCAGAGTTGTCACAATACAGCAGGTGTGTTCAAGCAAAACAGATTCCTCTGATTAGGCAACCCTGTAATTAAGCAGCATTAGCTCGGATTTAACGATCTATTGAAAAGAGCTGCAGTGAAAAACATCACTTTTCAGGAGGATGATTTATTTACATTATTAATGGATGTGATTTGCAGTTTGGTTTGAGTAATCTCTGGGGTAGGACGTTAGGTATGTGCCATAACGAGGTTCGTTATAAGCCAACCCTTTCAAGACGACCAGTGACGAGCACCGGACCTGACTCAGAGAGCAGACTAATCCCTTCAAATTACCCAGAACAACCTGGTACTTCTTGCCCTGTTTTTTTCCATCAGACTAGGATCCTCTGCACACACACAAACCACACAGAAAAACTGTACTCATTTTACAAGGTGGACGCTCACGCAAAAACCCACACACTCTACGGAGCACCAAGAGTGAAGCGGCATTCACACAATATCCCATGAAGTCTATTCATGGATTAAATACCTCTGTAAAGCACCCTGTACACTCTACAGACCACGTCAACTGGTCTTTATGTCAAGTGTACCACCATGTTTTTATGATCGATCAAATGCCTGAAAGCCACAAACACCAAGGCATCTCTAAAGCAACATACCTACACATCCAGAACATATCAAGTTCACCCCACAAAATGCTCGACACACTATGAAGCATTGTCTGAGTGAAAGTATGAAGAGAAAAAGAGTAAAGTGCTCATTTATTTCGACATGAACATCCTGCTGGACCAAATCGTCGTCATGCCGATGCCATCGCCTCATAGTTCCGTGGATGACGGAGATGATGAGCATGTCGCATGCACAATGGGGTGCCTCTTGGCTCCAAGAGGGGAAACAACAGTCTGTACTGTCATCCAGACCCACCAGAAGGACAGCGGAAAAACCTTCAAATAGACGCAGTTGAGCATGAACAGTCTGGCACATGCTGGGCCCTTGAACCCACGAGGCTGTAACCCTCAGGCTACAGGCCAGAGCTGGACTAGGGCTGAAAAACACTGAGAAGGTTTATCGACTTATTGACCAAGCAACTCAACCACGGTCTGCTTTGAAGGAGGACCAACTCGTTTTGTGTGTGCAGGGGAGGATTAGCGCATTGGCTATAGCCCAGGGCCCCGGCAAAGATCAGGTCCCCGACCCGCCGGGAACAATGGACCGGTTAGGTAAGTCGGCAGCATCCAAGTGTCCATGCTGAGGTCGGTCTTAGGCCCCCAGATAAGTTAATCCACCCCTACGTGTGTGGGCATAGCATGTGGGAGACAGTGATGGGACTTGGGTGAGGGAGGTCTGTCTGAATCCAGTGAGGAACAGGAACTCAAGCATTCCAGGATCAGGATGGAGAGCAAAACGCAGACGCCGACACATGCGATATGTGCAGATGTCAATGAGCCGCTAATTCCAAAAGAAAGGCTGAAAGGGTTAAAGCAAAGTCCCCTGAACACAATCCGCAAAGTGGCCTAATACAGAATCACTGAGGTCTTTAAAATAGGGGGGCGGCCGTCTGCTCAGCGTTTAAGAGAAAGATACACGAGAAGCGACTCCTAAAACGCATGCAGAGCCCAATCCCCACACAAGTGTCCTTTGTCCCATTCATTACATGTCATAGTTCTGGTCTCGTTTTAGGATTTGATGGCCATTTCCAGTCCCATAAATAGTCACAATGAGCCTAATTCAAGCCCCGACCCACCAGTTTGGGTTGAAGAAAATTAAAAACAGACTGGTAAACCTCTGGCATGTGACAAGCCGCTATGGTGAGAGAGACAGCCATGGATTCTGGACTTTGCTTTGAAATATGCACCGTACCGTAACTTCATCTAGCAAGATCTCTCACCAATATAAACATCCACACAATAAATTACAGTAAATTATAAACTACAGCAGGATGCTTATGAAAGAGACCATGCTAGATCATATTTAAAGGTGCAGACAAGAAATTACCTACCCCCAGACAGTCCCCCAGGAACCCCACAGACAGTTCACATTTTTGCTCCCTTACAGCTCCCTGTACACTTGAACCAAATGGAATACCTGATACAGGTATGTTGAGAGCTGGTAGGGAGCAAAAATGTGGACTGACCTACACAACTCTACCAAGAGTCAGGCCTCTGCCCAGCAAACACATGCAGCTAAGACCTTGAAACTTAGATGTATAGGGGACGGTCAGAAGAACTGTGAGATGAAGAGCCTTCAAGAGCGAAGCCAAGGGACTTAAGACAAACGGCCACGCTACTCATCAAGAAGACGCTGAAGAAACCGCTCGGTGGGAAAGAACCAGAGAGGTAAAGCCTGCAGAGTCTCCGAGGCTGTTCCCGACTTGGATTCAGCTCTTCACAGCCTCGAGATTAAAGCACCCTCAGCCAAGGCGGGATTTCCGTAATAATTACCGCTCGCTCCTCGACGAAATTAGTCTTGCCACCAGTCTCCTCCCAGCGGTCTCCCAGTTTCTGGCGCTCCTTTCTAAAATGCACGCCTCTTCCGACTCATCAAACTAAACCTCAAATTACATCCGCCTTTTAATTAAAAGTAGTAAATATGCATATACGTATTTTTTTCTAAGAGTCAACACAGGTGCCAAAATGTGCCATCTGGCCTAGGAGTCAAATACTGACTGAATTAGCGCATCAAATATTTATGTCTGTTATTTAAGTACTAAGAAGTTGTGGAGAGTTTGTTGTGAACTGAGCATTGGAAAATGGAGCCTGATGTGACCTGAAAATGGCACAAACTAGGGGAACAAACAACAGAGCCTGACAGCTTGTGTTTCACGCCCCCCACCGACGGAGGACGGGCCATGCATCAACCTCTGAGACGGGGTGATTCAGCGTTCAGCCCCACAATGCTGCACAGGGAGGGGCCCTGTTACACCAGATCGCAGGGACAG